GATGGAGTATTCCATATTAAGGCCCTGGCCTTCGCCTGTCCGAGGACGCGGTCTTCGGGCAGCCGTGTGTTCGACAGTACTCGTATGGTACCGGACAGTGCAGCTGCACTCCGAACGTTTGCGTACCAGACGGCCCATCATGGGTTTCCACTTCATTCCACGGGCTTACCACCCACATCTACGGGCGTCGTTCTCCAAACCTTCCTTCAGGTCACCATGCTCGATTGGATGGAGGCGGGAAACGCCGCTCCTGCCATGCTCATATTGTGGACCAAGGGCCTTCAAAAGGTCCATCTTTTCGCAGACCTCCTGCACCAAATGCATTTTCCAGAGCTCCGCATCCACATAAAGAACTTGAAGGACCTGCACTACCCTCCACTTACGCAGCTCTGTCCGGCAACCCAACCCTGGTCAATCTGCCAGAAAGCTGTACGACTTGCCCGCTGGCTCGCTGAGCAAGGTCTCGCTTAACTGCCTCACTTTACGGCCATAACCTGGCCTCTAGGAACGTTTTCTATATAGACTTTCGTCCTTGTATTTCCGTATTTGCAATCGTTACTTTTTGTTCCCTCGTTCATCGTTCTTTCCCTCGACCGGGAGGTCTCGGTCTAAGGTGGGAGGAATGTTAGGGGAAAAATTATGTATTTTAGTTTTAGGACACATTTTAAATTTATTTATCGGTTTAGACCCAGTTCTGTATTTGCTCGTTCTTTTACTCGACCGGTTGAGCGGTAAAGAATGGTGAACGAGTTGTTCTATTCAAATTGTTGTTATTAAAATTAGTTATAACCAGAAAAAGTAAATTGTTGACATATCACAAAATATTGTATTTAGGGTTTTCGTGGGTTTTGGGATAAACATCTTAAAAATATATTCATATACTTTCACATTTGGAATATTCGGTTATTCGGGGTTTTTTTCTTCGGTAGTTAAATAAAATGTACAAAAACCACAGTGGTTTTAAGAATGGATTTTTATCGATTACTCGCTTTTACTATGCACCTGCTTGTCGGCACTTTTGTCATCTAGTAAATGGGTTTTTTTAGGTAAATATAGGTGTTAATGGTCTTTCTGGAAACATTGGTTTTCATGGTAGACAGCAGCTGAGTTTATACTCGTAAATTTAATTTCTTTTCGTTCTAAGTTAACACATTTTCTTTTTTGTCTTTTAATAAAGAGTTTTTTTCTTATTTTCACGCTGTTTTTTCCTATAGGTATGACGAACCTCTGCACAAAGACAAACTCTAAAGAGGCACTTTTAAAAGCTGGAAGCAGAAACTCTTTGGGAGTTTTCGTCGACGACCCTAAAAACATTGCAAACCTAAGTGATGTTTTCGTGGATTTTTACTCGGGTTGCACAAAGTCGACTATTGCTCGGGGCACGGAAGAGGTGCATTCGGCGTTGTATGTGACCTCAAATGAAGTTGTGAACGCAACAGCAAGGTAATAGACAACATTTAGGAAATGCAATCAAACCTGCCAGCGGACACCTCACTATAGTATGACAGCCAGTTCAAGAAAATATTTTTGTTTAAAACATCTCTACAAGGGTCACTATATTCTGTCCCCAAGGTGGCTGTTGCAGACAGGTTCAACGGTACTGTCTCACACTGAAAGCATGTTTTAGAAAAAAAGGTTTAAAACTAAGAATCCAGAAAAGCTTCGCCAGGTGTACTTTTTTTCACAGACACCTTTGGTCGCCCACGGCCCAGGTCAACTCGGTAAAAGCACTTCATGCAATCAGATAATGCGTCGAGTACCGTATTTGAGAATCAAATAAGATTTAAAGGAGTAAAGAGAAGCAGGGATCAGCTCTAGGTGTCCGTTTCACTGAAATGGACGTACGATCAGGTGCCTACCGACTACCAAATTGGATATATGGTAAACAAATTTAATTAGCTAGAGATGGGGCTATACTCGCGCGGAAAGTGCGTGGAGTTTTCCTACACCTCGTTTTGCTTAGACCAGAACAAACCCACTGGGTGTGTTTTATTTAAGATTGATTGGTACCTTGAGTTTTGGAGAAAAAAAAATTTTACTCAATCGCTTCTGGTTCATATTTAACCTTAAATGATCTGATACATCTTGCAGGGAAATCAGGCGTATAGCATACATTCCCTTCACTGGAGAGTCAATAAGGGGTTTGACTCCAGAGGAAATACGTGCCCACATGCAGTTTAAGAGGTCGTTGAAATCTGGCAATCATTCGGCAGCAATGGGTAAATTGATTTCCCTTGGTTCACTTTTTTCTACAAAAGGCCTAAACATAACAGATGAATTTATAAACACTGTGGCCCCCTGTCTAGACGGAACCATGAGTGATGTTGTCCCATCTTATGCCATAGTTTTGTGGTTTGCTAATAAGGTAAGATTGTCGGGGACTGGGGCACATATTACGTAATTATGTAACCCGTGACAACGGAAGCACGTGCTTATTATTGAGAGCCTGCCCCCTTTTTAGTTGTTAATTCGAATCTATTGGACAGAGAGTTAGATTGACCGTGATTGTGCGAAGACCTTGTGAATCTTGCGATTATTAAACACGTTAACTTCAAATTTGTCTTGTCTTGGATACTGTCTCCAGCGGCCGGAGGAGTCCAGCAAAAGATATGAGGAATTTGAACATTTACATATTGCCAATATTATTTGAGCTGACAAGTATCAAATGTGAAGCAAATTTTCTAGGCAAGTTACAAGTCTCGAAGAAGAGTAGAGTAGAGCAAGAAAGCAAGAAACCAAGCAAGAAATCAAGATGTCAGAAACCAAGAAGAAGACGGCAACCACCAAGAGAGTTACTCCTTATGCCAAAAAAGAGAACCAGAAGAAGACAGAAGCCAAGAACAAGTTAAAAGGAAGTATTGTCATTGATCCGCTACCTATGAATAATCCAGTTTCATGGTTTCGGGTTTGTACCTTTTGAAGACGACGCAGAACCACCACTCTTAGATGGATTTACATGACTCAATACTAATTACAACAGAGACAACCATAATGCAACACTTTTTATTGCACACCATTTTTGTAACTAATAAAACTTTTTAAATGTGATATGTGTGACTGTTATTTATTATCTTACTCGTAAAATGCAGACAAAAAGCGGTCTGCTATTTCTTTATCCCAGTTAGTATAGTAATCACACCTCTCTTTTCCATAAGGGTGGTAACCGCAGTACCGGGATTTCCAACAACTTCATTAACTGGAGTGGTTTGCATCATTTCAGTGGTGAAGTGTTGGACTAACATGTCCTTTCAAGACTACTTAGACTACTACGTTAGACTACTTTGTTCTCTCGTTGGAAGATCGAAAAACAAGGAAACGAACTGGTTTAAATTCACATCACTGTCCATGAGAAGAGTATACCCGAAGAGACCACAGGTACAGGCAGAATAGTAAAGTTATTCACTCTCTAACTAATGGTTCTCCACCTAGACACCGGCGACGGCTTGAAGGTCATTATGTCCACGAGGACACACGGAATGTTGAGCGCTCGTAACTTTGGCTTAATTCTTGCCCTCTGCGCTACTATCTGGGTATTAACTGACCTAACTTTTGAATATAAGGATACTGTTTGTCCGTATTCGCATGTGGAACGCAGATTTAAGGCTTCAGACGCGTTCTTCCTAGAAAAGAATGTGGTCAACGCTCCTTTCATACGTCGTTCTCGAGCGAACCGATATTTCGCTGGTAGAGTTCAGTACAGCGCGAACGGCGCGAGTACCTTCCAAATACAACGGGACCTCCTCGTCTGCGGCGATATATCGTCTAACCCTGGCCCTGCGAAAGGCAAAGATAAGCCCAAGTTTCCATGCGGCGAGTGTAGTAAGCCAGTGAGAAAGAACCAAGACGCCATTTTGTGCTCGTCTTGTGATACTTGGTCCCACGCAAAATGTCTCAAATTAACCGTTACCGGGTTCAAATACTACCTACAACATCCCGACTTGGAATGGACATGTGCTTTCTGCTCTCTGCCTAAACTATCGGACTCCTTCTTTGACGAAACTGGCTCATTTACTTTGAACGAGAGCAACTGTGAAAACGAGAAGTGCGAAGTCGAATCGGTCGATACCGACGAAGTCCTAGCCAAGATAAAAGACATTAGAATTGAAGAAAAGAAGAATGTGTTATTGCCTGCCTGTGAAAGCACACCATTATTGTAGCTAAGTGTATTTTCACAATAAACTCTTATTGTATTGTATTATTCAAAGGCATGCCAGAAATGTGCTTTAAAAAAAGCAAAGGGTTTAAGTGAAGAAGAATTTGAGGAGTGGTTATTGGAACATCGATGTGACATTAACTTTGCTGGTAGCTCACCAGCAATGGAGTGTGAAGGAGCTGTAGTCTTGTGGGAAAGGTCACCGGAACACCATAACCGTGATGGCGATAGTAAGGCCTTTAATTCTATAAAAAATGTTTATGGTGCCATCAAAGTGGAGAAATTAGACTGTGTGGAACATGTACAAGAAAAAAACATCTCTTGAACCTAGAGGCCAGAACTAAAGAGAAACGAGCTGGTGGTAGACCTATTGGCGGTATAGGGAGACTGTCCGATGCAAAAATTAAATATTATGGACTTGCAATTCGGCAAAACACCATTAGGAAATCTAATCCAGCAAGAAGGAAGCTGGAGGTTGCAGTCTATGCAATGAAAAAAAAAACATTATGGAGAATTGCAACGATGCTAAGTCAGATAACCTTGCAAAACAGCATCGATTTTGTCCACCAGATGAACCCTCTTGGTGTAAATGGAAGAAAGATGAAACAACAGGGACGTCAACATACAGTTGTGTTAACTGTTGGCCTGAAATCTTTCTTGAAGTCTTAAAACCAACTTTTACGACTTAACCCTTAACGGACCAACTACGCATATATGCGTAGAAATATACAAGCCTGTTTGGAAGAGCGATTAGATAGGTTTTCAGGGGCTTGGTTACGAGCAATTCATTTAAATATAGCTAATATGAAGTAGTTTTTCAGTTCATCGAAGCTTCGGTAGAATTTTGGAAGATTTCATTAAAGTTTTGAATGTAAATTTCTTTGTGTTGTTTTTTTGATCGGGTATTTAAACATGGCGACTTCGAGGATAGATCCAGTAACAGATTTTGCTATCGAAAGCGATGAAAGCGACGTTGAAGTTGAGTTTGTCGATGAGGATGACCTTCCTCTATCTTGTGTTCATTCGGGGAATAATTTCCTTGAGCATCCAGAGTCAGATGAAGAAGTGGGCTCCGATTTTTTGTCAGACTCAGGTGATAGTGAAGCAGGCGAAGGAGGGGAAAGCGAAGATGATGAAGAATTGGAGACAGATGAATCGATTTGGACCGAAGAGTTAACCACAAGAACTGATATTGACTTTAATCAAGCTGTTGGAATGGCTGTGGATCCTGCATCATTGAAGTCAAGCAAAGATTTTTTTGAGCTCTTCTTTACAGATCAGGTATGGCAGCTGTTAGCCACTCAAACTAACTTGTATGCTTCACAGAAGAGAGGGCCTGAAGAAAATTCAGTCTGGTATCCAGTGTCTGTAGAAGAAATGAAAGCTTGGCTAGCTCTTTATTTGTGCATGGGTATTGTTAATAAGCCAAATATTAAATCCTACTGGAGCACTGACCCAATACTGTCCACCCCATTCTTTCCTGCTACTATGTCAAGAACAAGGTTTGTTCAGATTTTACGTTACCTTCATTTTGCTGATAACAACCTTGCCCCCAGACCTGACTCACCAGACTACAACAAATTATACAAAATTCAACCTGTTCTTGATCTTGTGGTACCCAGATTTAAAGCAGTTTACCACCCTAAGAGGGAACTTGCTGTTGATGAGACTCTAATAAAATTCAAAGGCAGAGTTCATTTTAGGCAGTTCATCCCAAGCAAACCTGGCAGGTTTGGAATAAAGGCTTTTACTCTTGCTGAATCAACCAGTGGTTATGTCCTGGGTAGCAAAGTTTACACTGGAAAGGAGGCTGGAGTTGTCCAGAAAGATCTGGGGAAAAAAGCTGTCATGTCTTTGCACCCGGTTCACTCGGAGGAAATGGGCTCACCCCGGAGAAAGAAATTTCCCTTGCTGGGCTCAGCCCACTTCAAAATACATTCTTAGCATTCTCGTTGTCAAACATTCCCAGATTTCATTTCGGTCGTTCTGTTACCATGTCAACAAGAGCTGATCTTTCTCAAGAGATCGCATATCCTCTATCCAGCGTTTGATCGTGACCATAGCTAATCTAGATCATAGTCAATCGTGACTTAAGTATTGTACCAATCGTTTAATCATGGCTTCATCAAGGAAAAATAATCTGTTAACTGATGTTCAAAGATCCATTTTGTCTCGGTATTTTGACCAAGGCATGACTGGAAAGGGTCAAGCCCACAACGATCTCATTGAACAGGCCAGTGCAGAAGCCAAAGTGACTAAGGAAACTGTAAAGGTAAGACTTTATTGGTTAAAATGCTTTTATAGATTCCATATATTTATGTTAGATAGTAGCGTAAATATGGAATGTTGCTTGGATCCTTTTCTGTCATCTCGCTGGTAAGGCGTGTGTTTCGGACCCTTTTACTGGTGGTTGCCGCGAATGTCACGCACCGTAGTGACATCTTCCAAGCGTTTTTACTATTAAATAAATTAGTTATACACTTTTGAATTCAATAAAAACCGATTCGATTTACTATTAGTTCTTTATTTTTGATTGAATATTTAGAATTGGATTGGAAGCGAACGAAAGAAGAGAAAAGCAGCGGCAAGTTCGACTTCGAGTGATCAAGATACCGCACCGTCAGCAAAAAGCGTAAAAAGCATCCCCTGCATACGAGCTCCCACGTCATACAATAACTTTTGTAAGGAGCTGTTCAACAAAGGTAAAAGTTTATGAAATATTCTTCTACGCCATTCATAATATTACGAACAAACAACACAGAAGTTAAACCCGTTTTAAACTTTATGTTTCTTTTCAAAGTGAAATTAATCCAAGCTATGCTTGATCGAGTAGGGTTTTTGTCGTTCTTTAGTAATTGGAAAAGTAGTTTAGAGCTAAACAAGAGAGTAATTAAACTAAACGCTCATGCACACTTTGTATTTAAATTCTAGATCAGTGTCGAAACCTTTCTATGGTAGAAAGAAATTCGTTTGCTGCCAAAGAGTGGGCGAAACTCACTGCTGAAGAAAAAATTTTATATAAGAGTTCGCAGAATATAGCGGGCGAGTTGAATCCCGAAGATATTGAAAGGACCGTCAAAAAGATAAGAGATCAAATAATTAAGCTGGTGAGTCATATTATATTATTTTCAATTCCTCGGCGTTTGACGAGTGTCAAAATATTATATTCCACATTGATTCCATTGACTTATTTCAATCAGTTCTCAAAATACTTCAACAACACGGGTCGGGGCAAATGTGAAAAGTTAAACTTCAGATCCCCACATCGATAGATCCTGTTAGTAATTGAGCATATAAATTTTGCATAAAAAACGAACAAAGAGAAAAAAAATCCATATGAATACGGTAAAAAACAAAGATTGAAGTATAGAAAGTTGGAGAAGAGGAAGAAAGAAGGAAAAAAGAATAAAGTAGTCGCAGAATTAAATCCTTAATCATCGAGTTGTTAAATTCTTTCCTGTCAGCTTAAATAAGCTTCTTGTTAACTCCATCATTATTTCATAATGCTGAAAATATATTTGCCTGTTCATTTGAAACTGTTGAACTGTCTCTTATAGGTAAACATTCTTGATGGATATGGCTGTTGCACTGCGGTACTACAAAAAGATCCTGATGGACAGTTGTTTGGTTTTGGATCCCCTGCAGGTCAAGACTTTTTGTCAAGGAATCCCGAGTTGATGTTTAAATTCAAAAGCCATTTTGGTGGTAAGCTTTTCACTAATTTTTTGCAGTATTTCTGCACTATTGTTTGAGTTCTGCAAAATCTTTGATGGAACCTTTTCTGGGCAAAGGATATTATCTTTTCATGGACAATTATTATACTTCTGTTGGTTTGTTTGAGGAGTTAGAAGAGAGGTCCACCCTTGCTTGTGGGACTGTAAGGTCTAACAGAGTAGACCTTCCAAAAGAGATCTGCAATCTTAAGTCCAGACAGGTGAAGCAACTGAAAAGGGGTGAGTCCTTGTACCGACAGAAGGGAACACTGACTTGCGTGACATGGCGTGACAGAAAAGTTGTTAGCATGTTAGCCACTCTTCCTACAGGTGAGGAAGATTCTGATGAAGTGGAGAGATCTGTGAAGGTCAATGGCCATTGGCAAAAGAAAAACTTTGCCCGTCCTGGTGTGATCAACCTCTATAACACTTTCATGGGAGGTGTTGATGTTGCTGACCAGAGAGTGTCAACATATGCTAGACTCATGAGGGGCTCAGTGTGGTACTATAAGTTGTTCTTCTATGTTGTAGAAGTGTGCATTTCAAATGCACACATATTAGAGAACAAATCACTACTTCACACCACCAGAAATGGCCTGCTTTTCAGAAGATCATTGATTGATGAGCTCATCCAACAGCAAAGCTTCCGGAGAGACACAAGATCACCTCAAAATCCAATCCCACAGATTCGATTTAACCAGGGTCACTTTCACCACCTTGTGAGCCACAAAACAAGATCTACATGCAAGGTTCACCTGCAACGTGTGGATACCACATTCAGCTGTGCAGTATGTGGAGTGCGCATGTGTCAAGAGCCATGTTTTCAAAGGTACCACACCCTGAGGGATTACTATTACAATGATGAAGAGCGGGAAGGACCCAGACGTCTAAAGGAAGGAAGGGGGAGGCCTCGGGCAAGGGGAAGAGCAAGAACCTTGCAGAACTGAACATTAATAACATTAAGGCCATGTTAAAAGTAAAATTTTTAACCTGAATTGTTTTTTGAGACAATTAACTTTCCATAACAGTAACTATACAAACTAAAAAGAACATCATCTTGGTACTAAAGTTATTCAACTATACTTACCTGAGAGGTCTGTTATCCAGTGCAAATGAGCAAGGTTTTCATTTTAAAATTATAGTTTGATGTATTCATATCTTAAATTAATTGAAAGGACGTCTAAATTATGTATTTTTGTTGCTGATTACAATTTTTAGGCAAACTTACTGAAAAATGTGCATAATTATGGTAATTATGCAAATCGTGACGTCACACATCAAATTTTATCCCATGATATATAACATAGATCAATAGCCCATTTTATACAGATCTCAGATATATATGGTTTATTATGGTTAACTTGAAAACACTATTGTTTACAGTGGCTTTTATCATGACCACTCAAATTTTTCCCAAAAAAATAAGACCCCCGTGGTCCTTTAAGGGTTAAGGCGGTTCTGGTTGAGAAAATAAATAACTTCCAAGAGAGCGAGGATTACGTGTCACGCTTTGGGACAACAGCTATTGGAAAGACCAATTCCAATCTGGATGATGAAAATGTATTCGTTCTCTCAGAAGAGGTACGGACATGTCGTTTTTCTTTATTCCTTGAGTGAATTAATTGATTACAGTTGTTTATTTTGTGTAAGTCCAGACAACATGGCGAGAAAAGCTCTTACTACAAGTTTTCCCGTCTTTCTGTGGCCCTGTATATGTTAAGTTGTTTGGGACGGAAAGTCACCGTATTTGCCCATTCAGGTATCGCTTATGGGCTCTGTATCTCTTTTAGGAGATAAAGCTTCAACCACATCCAAATGGGTTTTTTCTGATGAGCCAATCTGCCAATCTGCTTTTGTTTTTAGTCCCTATCCTTCTGCATCCAAATAACGTTTTGTTGTTGTTAGTGTTGCTAAAAATCCAGCAAGGTGGGGAAGTGCCCCCTAATATTTGGGGTGGTAACTTTGCGCCGATATTCTGTTCTGTGGCACCCCATTACCCGGCTAGGCCATATATGGGAATGCCCCTTCCCCCGGCACTTCATGTTCATTTACTTCATTTATGACAATGCCGACTCAAATTGCCCAAATTGATTAATCAAACGTCGCCTATCACTTTGGTTATATCTTATAGGTACACGTTGATGAACGTGGGAACCTGAGGGAGAAGGAAAATCATAAATTCGTTTATGTACCGGAACAAAGGGATGTAATGAAAGTGGAAGTAAAAGTTCCCTTCTCTGTCCAGCCAGTAAAGGACATTTTGCCAGTAAGTGTCATATGCAATGATGTTTCTTATTGTTTAAGAACAGTTTCATAGCAAGAACCCTCGATATTGACGTTTCATACTTCTGTTTATTCCGCGTGATATTGATTACTGTTAGTTCCCAATTGTGTAGTACACTATGACTTTCTAGTAATTTGATGGATTTTTAGTGTTCACTTGAGATCTTGAGCCACAACAGTCTTTAGACATCTTCGCTTACGATTCACGACCAGAGAAATCAACCACCCGTGGCAACGCTCTCTCTTACCGTTGAACTGGCTGGCTTCCAACATGGCGATGGAGTATTCCATATTAAGGCCCTGGCCTTCGCCTGTCCGAGGACGCGGTCTTCGGGCAGCCGTGTGTTCGACAGTACTCGTATTGTACCGGACAGTGCAGCTGCACTCCGAACGTTTGCGTACCAGACGGCCCATCATGGGTTTCCACTTCATTCCACGGGCTTACCACCCACATCTACGGGCGTCGTTCTCCAAACCTTCCTTCAGGTCACCATGCTCGATTGGATGGAGGCGGGAAACGCCGCTCCGGCCACGCTTGTGGATCAAGGGCCTTCAAAAGGTCCATCTTTACGCAGACCTCCTGCACCAAATCCATTTTCCAGAGCTCCGCATCTACATAAAGAACTTGGAAGACCTGCACTGCCCTCCACTTACGCAGCTCTGTCCGGCAACCCAACCCTGGTCAATCTGCCAGAAAGCTGTACGACTTGCCCGCTGGCTCGCTGAGCAAGGTCTCGCTTAACTGCCTCACTTTACGGCCATAACCTGGCCTCTAGGAACGTTTTCTATATAGACTTTCGTCCTTGTATTTCCGTATTTGCAATCGTTACTTTTTGTTCCCTCGTTCATCGTTCTTTCCCTCGACCGGGAGGTCTCGGTCTAAGGTGGGAGGAATGTTAGGGGGAAAATTATGTGTTTTAGTTTTAGGACACATTTCAAATTTATTTATCGGTTTAGACCCAGTTCTGTATTTTGTTCGTTCTTTTACTCGACCGGTTGAGCGGTAAAGAATGATGAACGAGTTGTTCTATTCAAATTGTTGTTATTCAAATTAGTTATAACCAGAAAAAGGAAATTGTTGATATATCACAAATTATTGTATTTAGGGTTTTCGTGGGTTTTGGGATAAACATCTTAAAAAATATATTCATATACTTTCACATTTGGAATATTCGGTTATTCGGGTTTTTTTTCTTCGGTAGTTAAATAAAATGTACAAAAACCACAGTGGCTTTTAGAATGGATTTTTATCGATTACTCGCTTTTACTATGCACCTGCTTGTCGGCACTTTTGTCATCTAGTAAATGGGATTTTTTAAGGTAAATATAGGTGTTAATGGTCTTTCTGGAAACATTGGTTTTCATGGTAGACAGCAGCCGAGTTTATACTCGTAAATTTAATTTCTTTTCGTTCTAAGTTAACACATTTTCTTTTTTGTCTTTTAATAAAGGTGGCTAAAGTGGTTTTCAAACAAAACTATGGTGCTCTTATTTTATCGATGGCCTGTGTGGCGATGGGCATCCACGCCGATGTCATACGAAACACATTTGATGGCTGCCCCGTGTCTGTGTTTGTAGGAAAGTCAGGCAGAGGAAAGACTTGCAGCTTAAAGATGGGTCTTTCGCTTCTTGGTAAGTCGTAAAGTTGAGTGTATAAATATAGTCGAAGCTCTCGTGATAGGAACCCTTTAAAGGTAAAAAGGCGGGTCCGTAACTGAAGCTGGTCGCTTATGTGTGATTGTTAAATACAGAGTTTGTTTGGGAGTTGACAGGGACACCCAACCACCGTTTCCTCCTAAATGCATTGAAAAGTCTTTTTAGGCTATCCAAAGCACTTCTGGATCTCTAGAAATGCATTCCAAGTGTGCTATAGAATTTTTATCCGTCCGATCACCTTAGGATCGACGCAAGACGAAGGGAGTGACAACTGTGAATAAAGAAAGTGAATCAAAACTGCGCGAGTGACTAGTGTTGCAGTACCGGGATTTCCAACAACCTCATTAACTGGAGTGGTTTGCATCATTTCAGTGGACACTGGTGAAGTGTTGGACTATCATGTCCTTTCAAGACTACTTCGACTACTACGTTAGACTACTTTGTTCTCTCGTTGGAAGATCAAAAAACAAGGAAACGAACTGGTTTAAATTCACATCACTGTCCATGAGAAGAGTATACCCGAAGAGACCACAGGTACAGGCAGAATAGTAAAGTTATTCACTCTCTAACTAATGGTTCTCCACCTAGACACCGGTGACGGCTTGAAGGTCATTATGTCCACGAGGACACACGGAATGTTGAGCGCTCGTAACTTTGGCTTAATTCTTGCCCTCTGCGTTATTATCCGGGTATTGCCTGACCTAACTTTTGAATATAAGGATACTATTTGTCCGTATTCGCATGTGGAACGCAGATTCAAGGCTTAAGACGCGTTCTTCCTAGAAAAGCATGTGGTCAACGCTCCTTTCATACGTCGTTCTCGAGCGAACCGATATTTCGCTGGTAGAGTTCAGTACAGCGCGAACGGCGCGAGTACCTTCCAAATACAACGGGACCTCCTCGTCTGCGGCGATATATCGTCTAACCCTGGCCCTGCGAAAGGCAAAGATAAGCCCAAGTTTCCATGCGGCGAGTGTAGTAAGCCAGTGAGAAAGAACCAAGACGCCATTTTGTGCTCGTCTTGTGATACTTGGTCCCACGCAAAATGTCTCAAATTAACCGTTACCGGGTTCAAATACTACCTACAACATCCCGACTTGGAATGGACATGTGCTTTCTGCTCTCTGCCTAAACTATCGTACTCCTTCTTTGACGAAACTGGCTCATTTACTTTGAACGAGAGCAACTGTGAAAACGAGAAGTGCGAAGTCGAATCGGTCGATACCGACGAAGTCCTAGCCAAGATAAAAGACATTAGAATTGAGCACAGAAAAGAATGTGTTATTGCCTGCCTGTGAAAGCACACCATTATTGTAGTGTTCACAATAAACTCTTTTTTTATTGTATTATTCAAAGGCATGCCAGAAATGTGCTTTAAAAAAAGCAAAAGGTTTAAGTGAAGAAGAATTTGAGGAGTGGTTATTGGAACATCGATGTGACATTAACTTTGCTGGTAGCTCACCAGCGATGGAGTGTGAAGGAGCTGTAGTCTTGTTGGAAAGGTCACCGGAACACCATAACCCATGGTACAGATGGATAGTGAGTGATGGCGATAGTAAGGCCTTTAATTCTATAAAAAATGTTTATGGTGCCATCAAAGTGGAGAAATTAGACTGTGTGGAACATGTACAAGAAAAAAACATCTGTTGAACCTAAAGGCCAGAACTAAAGAGAAACGAGCTGATGGTAGACCTATTGGCGGTATAGGGAGACTGTCCGATGCAAAAATTAAGAAATATTATGGACTTGCAATTCGGCAAAACACCATTAGGAAATCTAATCCAGCAAGAAGGGAGGTGGAGGTTGCAGTCTATGCAATGAAAAAAAAACATTATGGAGAATTGCAACGATGCTAAGTCAGATAACCTTGCAAAACAGCATCGATTTTGTCCACCAGATAGACTAAGGACATCATTATTTATGGGTTCCCTGTGGAATACCAGCTTGTAATTCAGTTCAGCAATGAGTAAATGCTACCAGTTCCAATACAGTCAGCTATAAACAGTTATTAGATCGTAACTGTAATTCGTGTTAAACTGTAACCGTCGCCTGTTTTATGTAGTTTTTATCAACTTGAGCTTTTTGAAGGTGATTAATCTTGTAAAAGGGGAAATTTGGTGTAATTATTCTCCTTCAAAAACAGGAAAGTTGGTATAGAATATAAACTGACAAGTGCAA